CGCACATACGCAACAAACACTTGGTTGACGAGGTCATTCTTGACCACATGCCATGGGAACGCGGGGGCACTCATGCAGCAAAGAAATAGGCTATTCTCTACGCCAGATGCATGGTAAAGTCGGATTTTTTTCTTCCCACCTACTGGGCTAGGCAAACAACACTAATGCTCACCCAGTTTGACATCTGCATCGGCGGCCCCACCCCGGTCAGTTCCTAGAATCATGTCAAAAGGGAGACCGTCCTCCACTAAGAGTGTCAGGGAGTGCAGAACACATTCCACCTTTCCCCCTGCCTCCAACCGGAAGTATGCCCTAACCCTTTCAACATAGCTATCTACTACCATTTCTCTATTATCTGCTATCTCGCTTAACTTCTGGATGTTCAGCCCTAGGCGCATCTTCTGCAGCCCTTTCTTGCTTATATAACTGTGCGTTGACCCACTATCTATTAACGCGCCCACTCTTACTTTACTGACCTCTGCATCTACAATTAGCAACTCCCCTTTCTTTTTCTTCATTTCGGCCCAAGTGCGGCGACGAGTAGCACAAGCAACCTCTGGGCAGCTAACTAGGTGGAGGCCATTTGTCGTCTCAGTCTCTGCCATTGGGACCTCTGAATGGGAGGATGACAATCTACTTGCATCCAGAGTCCCTGTAGAGGCAACTGATACCTCTACTGGCTGTTCCCTTTTGGGTACTGGTATTCGGAACAAAAGGGAACAGTGTGGTCGGGGTCACCACATTTGAAACACTGGCCGGCTGCTTTACGTTCATCCCAAGTCTTTTCGTCAATCCCCATTTGTTCCCAAGGTTTGCCTACAGCGATTCCGGGATGGGGCGGATATGGCCGCCAGTTATTGTATCCTCTTCCTCTACCCCCAATGGAGTTGGAACCTCTTCCACCTTGTGAGGGACCATTGCCCCTACCTCCCACATAGTAGCTACCTTCGCCACTACCCCTCTAGGCGGCGGGTCCTCTTCCTCCACCACGGTCGCGGCCTCCTCTTCCTCTTTCACGGACTCTTCCTCCTTGCCGCCCTTCCCCGCGGGCTGCAACAGCCACATAGTCCCCTCCCTGGGCTAAGAGACCATTGCTTTCTTCTTCTAGGCCGTAATCTATCTGGTCATAGGTAAGTGATTCTACCCCTCCTCCTTCGAAGGTGACCAAAAGGTTATTTTTTCCAGTTATATTCCCTGAGATCGTACGATCTCTCCATTTCTTTCGTGCTTGGAGATCCCTCCAATAGTGGCAGTATTGGGCTTCTTGCAGAAAGCCAGCATAATCAACTGCGATCTTGCTGAACTTTTTATAGGTCATACCTTCTTCTTTGGTATGGGGATAAAGTTGGGTTCTGAGTGGATCTGGAAGTGCTCTAGCGAAATTGTTCAGAATCTGCGTGGGTGTTAGTCCTATGGGCCAGATGCTTATTTTCAAACCTTTCTCTAAGGGCCCTAAAAAAGTCCTCGATCCGCGTCTGTTGAGAATATAAGACCATGGTGGTGCAACCACTCTTCTTCATCAGGGAGATGGCGAAACTCATCGCATCACCCGCTAGGCAAGAACTAGCCATCAACATGCGGTCCCAATACGGGATCTTCTGCGCATACAGGTATGTATCCATCACAGCTTCCCAATAAAAAAATATTATCTTCTTTCTTCCCCGTGTAGGTCCAAGGCAATTTCACTTTCATCTTCTGCCTGGACTCCTCCGTTTCACCATCCTTCTCTTTCTTGGGACCCTTTCCCTTTTTGTCCCCATCGTCACCATAGTCTCCTCCATCTCCTCCCCCGCCTCCAATCTTTAGCTTTCGTACTAAAGCAGGGTCGGTCAACCTTTTGCAGAGGGCTTTATTTAACTGGTCAACGTATGCGATGGTCGATCTGTTCGGAGGCACTGCGCAGGAAGTTGTTCCAGATGCCTTCAAATTCCCCTTGGTGCAACTCCATTTGATTAACGTTTTGGTGGAGTGCAGCAAGTTCGTTGTTAGTGCAAAGGAGAGTATAAATTAGGAGGGCGAGTCTCTCATCTGTGACAGCTTGTTTCCCTTTCTGTTCCTGTAGCAATTTTTGCAACCTCTCCCCCTCCTCTTTCATCCTTTTCTTCTCATTATACTCTTGCCTTTTTGCTGCCACCATCTTATTATTCAGCTTTGCTTTCTTCTCCTCCAACAACAAATTATTTTCCTCCTCATCCGCTGCTGAAGCCAGCTTTATTATAAAATCATTCTTCTCCTCCTCCGTCTCTTCTGGGATCTCTGTCCGGTAACCGAACTGCTCCATCCAGTCCAGCGCCTCCTGCTGTTGTATACGGATTGCCCCTGCTTGGCTGCTCTCAACCTTTTCTTCTTGCAGCTGGGTTCTCCTTCTTTCCAGCCCGTCTCCCTCATCTTCTTCTTCTTTCAACTCTTCCATCATCTTCCTCTCCTTCTCCTTCATCTCCTTCTCCTTCATCTCCTTCTCCATCTTTTCTTTTTCTTCTAACAACTTCTTCTTCACTTCCTCCTCCTTCCTTTTCTTTTCCTCCTTTCTTTCTTCTTTTCTGTCAGGTGGCGATCTACCTCTGCCTGTTCTTCAAGTGTTTGCGCCTGTGTTGACTTCCCAGACCTCAACACCGCATGTGAGAAGAGGGTTCTCCGCAACCCAAGAGGAAAGATAAATCGGAGGAGAGGTCCCCACAGCACAGACAGGGACAGAAGCGCGAACATGGGATAGTCATCCATGATGATCAAAGGCACAGGTAATTTCCCTCCACCTCCTCACCATGTAGACCTACCCCTGCCACTAATTACTAACTTCCGAGTGGGTCTGACTGTTGCCTACCTCCCCAAAGCTATATATGTATATACTTTTTTTTTTTTTTTTAACAAGCGGACTGGTTGCCAGACTCAAGGCCAATCGACTTATGTGACAACTTGGACCAGCCCAGCAGCGGTGTCACCAGGGTGAGGCAGCTGCTACTTTAGCTTCACATAAATTGTGTTTGCCCACATTGGCTACTTCTTCTTCAGCCTACCTCCCCCCTTCGTCAGATTTCTCCCCACTCAACTCTCTTTCATACCTCCCTTCTCGCCGGCCTTAAACCACCAGTACACGGCCTCAGCCTTGCAGCAAAATAACTTGTCGCCACAAGAAGTAAAAGGCGGGCTCGGGGCAGGGTCGGAGCGTCAGAAGGGTTTCAAATTTTTGGGCCCATCTCAAATCCGTACGTCCCAAAAAACAAAACAAGCTTTGGCCGTGATTGCAGTTGGATACACTTTTTGGAGTACTCGTGCGAGTTTGCCGTCAGTGAGGAAACTTCAGCAGAACGTAGAACACGGGGAGCAGTGGGCGCCAGACAGAGAGGAGCGACTTTGGATACTGTGTTGGTGTGGCCTGAGGGCTTGAACATCGGCTCATTACTTCATTGCATGGCTACGATCCGGACGTCCGGACCGCCGTCCAGACGGTCCGGATTTGGTCCGGAATCCGGACGTCTGGTCCAGACGGTCCGGATCTGCCAAATTTCGAGGAAAAAAAAAAACAAAAAAAAACGGTCCAGAACCCTTCCCCATTGAGGAGCCAAGCCCCCAAAATTGTTTTGAGGGTTTTTCAGGCCCGTTTATGCTTTTTTGGGGGGTCCGGACATGCTCTCTCTCTATAATAATTTATTAGACAACCCCAATTTTTTAATTATTAATAATTCATTACCTTTTATTAGTTTTTTAAACTTTTTTAAGTCTTTTTTTAAGCTTTTTATAGTTTTTGACTTTTAACTCAAGTTTGGTTAGGAATTCTGACACGACTCTGAGGCAAAAGTGGTTTGCATTGTTATTGTGCATAACATTCTTTTTTTTCAGATTTTTTATTATTATTATTTTTTTTAATGGTCCGGACATTTCCGGACCTGTCCAGACATCCGGACCGTCCGGATCCCCCCAGGTCCGGTTCCATGTCCGGAAATGTCCGGGTCCGGGTCCGGCGTAGCCATGCTTCATTGTATTGCTCTTATTTGGATGGGATCTCGGTGCATTTGTGCTCTCTGCTTGTACACGACTACCTGGACATCTGTGTGATTTCGCAACTTGGTTTTCTGTATATCGGTCCCACTCATATTCCTTGCACGTTCTTGTTCGCACTGTTTAGCTGACCACCAGATATTTTCTGTTGTGAGAAACATCTCAGGTTCTGTTTTGAAGTCTGTCTTTTCAGAGAGTAGGGAAAAAAGAGAGTGCACACATTGAATGACCGGGCCATAAGGACCCATGATTGGAAAAAAAAGAAGAAAAAGAGTGTGGGGGGAATGGACTCTTATATCAGCATAGTCAGCATCATTTCATCCCTCCCTTGGAGACAATAGTGCTGTGGGGGGTTCTCCTGGCCGTAACTAAGGGACCGCACATGTGAAGTTATGGATAGAGTGAGGTGGATTTTAGACGACGAGGAATGAGGACGCATAGTGGATGGAAAGGTTGACTGGCTGATTCGAGATTCCCATGGACTCTCCGTTATCTATTTATTTGGGATAGTGGCTGAGACGGGCATCCGAGCAGGAGGCAGAAGGATGTTAGCGGTACAGTGTATCGCAGGCCACGAGCTCTCTGTGTTTACTGTGACAAGTAAAGCCTCACGCAGAGAGTTCAATATTGCATCTGTTCATCTCTGACTTGCTGATGGAATAGGAACCAGATTGTTGTTCCTCAGAATAGACCGGAGTGAAGCCATAACACACTTTCCCCCCCGCTAATGAAACAGAAGGTAGATCCAGCACAGAAGAGCATAGAGAAATGGCAGCCTCTGAAGTGCATTTGCAAGATAATAGTAGTATGCCATGTGTTTCTGACACAGGTTGAGATGTTGGGATTAACACCAGGGTTCACAAGTTGACAGCGTTGACCATCACATTATCAGAGAAAGATGATAATTTCAAAGGAGAAATCATTCTTTACAGAAGAGTTCATGGGAACGAAAACGAGATGAGCAGAAGAGTTCAAGGGAACGAAAATGAGATGAGGAAACTTACTGACGGAAGGGAGACCAGCTCGGAACAGGTCGAGCTTGCTCGTTGCTGTCCCTTTGATGTAGAAAACATCCTGGAATATTCCAAGACAACCCCATTGTTCTGGCTTTGGCTCGTGTGGAGAGAGAATAACTATGGGAGGGGTGGGGAATCCAGGCAGCCGCAAATGATCCACAAAATAATAGAGATTCCTTGGCCACTGGCACTCACAGCAAACAAGTATGTGGTTCTGAAACTTCACTGAGCTGACAGTTCGTTCCCGGAGGTTGGCGCATATAGCATTCTCATGTGTTGCGATGACCGGCAGGCGCGGCTTGCCTGGGAGTATTTTTGGTGGCCATGCCAATATTCGCTCTGATATCTCCTGCGAAACTTGATCTGCACCGGTTTGATCAATCTGGATAACCCTCCCACGCTGTTTGGAAGATATAGCGGAAAGGGCACTTCTGATCTCAGATAGCTCAGTGTCACCATAGTCATCAAGTTCCTCCCACTTTGCCTGAGTTTCCTCCCAAAGCTGTTTTGTATCAACAGAAGTTGAAATTCCTGAACTCAGAAAGGACGCAAGCGTTCTTTGAGTGGCGCCGAATGCAGAAACAGCTTGCACAGCGGCAAGGCTCTCTGCGATGATGATCCCCACATCATTCTCCCCGATGCGGTGATCCTTAGGGAACATTAGCACATACCCATCCATCTGTGAAACTTCTGGAGATTTCAGCGATGCTGTAATGTCAAGGCCAATCAGAAGCACACTGAACTCCACATAGACAAATTCAGCCACCTGTTGCAATCACATGGGGAAGATGGTTAGGTGAGAATGAATCAACCAATGTTTATGGGGGAAGATGGTTAGGTGAGAATGAATCAACCAATGTCTGTGAGTGAGATGCTGGCCTCCTGCAAGAGTTGACTGTGGAAGATCTTATGATCCTTCTCAATTCACAATGCAAAATACTCGACTCTGAGACAACGCAATATTTCAAAACTCAAGAAGAAGTGGAATTCCAATGGTGAATGAGGAGGAGAATCAGGAGATGATGAAAGTGGTCCACATATTTTACGAAAAACTGTCTCAAGGGGAGCATACAAAGGAGGCAAGGTTTTTTTTTTTTTTTTAATCTTTGAGCGTACCATCAAACCAGAGCAAGCAGCAGAAAGCCTTGATGTGCCGCTCTCTTGGCAGGAATTGGAGGAGGCACTCAAGTCTATGAGCCCGAACAAAACTTTGGGCAAGGACGGTCTAACAAGAGAGTTTTGGTTAGCATACTGGCTGACCTTGGGAAGGGAATATGAAATATTCTTTAGTAGCGCCTGGCAGAAGGAAGGACTGGGGATGGATCCATCTGCAGGGGTGGTAACTTTGTTACAGGGGACTATGTTGCTGATTGAACGCCATGAACGTGTGTTCGCATTCATATGCACGCGTTCAATCCTCCCCCGCGCACATTCAATCACGTTTAAAGTTTAAACGCGCCACATGGCAGCGCGCGGGGAAAAAAATGAATGCACGCACCGCCGAGGCGCACACCCCGGAGGCTACGCGGGAGTTCAACACTTGTCGTTTTTTTGGGGGGGGAGGGGGTGTCGTTGGTTGTATTTGGAATCGATCAATCTGATTGATTGATTGATTGATTGATTGATTGACTGAATGATTGATTTTGATTGTTTGATTGATTGATTGATTGATTGATTGATTGATTGATTGATTGGGAGAGGATCGGCCCCCGCGTACACACACGCACACACACACACACACACACACACACACACACACACATACACA